TATCAAGATGGGTTTCTCCAATCTGTTTCTGGTGCAATGTGGCGGTCCCGATCACCAGATGACTCCATTTCTCATGCTAATGGGAAAACGTTGAGCGAGGCAGCATCTAGAGAACCTGAATCACCTTTACCAGTCCAAGATAAACCCCCGGAACAAGTTACAATGCCTAAACCAGAAGCTAGAGAGGAAACTAAACCTGAACATCAGGCGAAACCCAAGAAGCCCCATCATATGAAGAGGGTGTCTAGTGCAGGGCTTAGGACAGAGTCCGTGTTGCAAACAAAAACTGGAAACTTTAAGGAATTCTATGCTCTTGGAAGGAAACTAGGACAAGGACAATTTGGTACAACATTTTTATGTGTGGAGAAGGAAACAGGAAAAAGTTATGCTTGCAAGTCAATTGCAAAGAGAAAGTTGTTAACTGACGAGGATGTGGAAGATGTGAGGAGGGAGATTCAAATTATGCACCACTTGGCAGGAAATCCAAATGTTATATCCATTAAAGGGGCTTATGAGGATGTGGTGGCAGTCCATGTTGTTATGGAACTATGCGCTGGTGGTGAGCTCTTTGATAGGATAGTTCAGCGTGGACATTATACAGAAAGGAAGGCAGCTGAGCTTACCAGAACCATAGTTGGGGTTGTGGAGGCCTGCCATTCTCTGGGGGTTATGCATCGCGACCTTAAGCCTGAGAATTTTCTTTTTGTGGGGCCGGAGGAGGATTCACTTCTCAAGACAATCGACTTTGGATTATCTATATTCTTTAAACCAGGTATGTTATTGATTGAATCCAGGTATAGATATTTCTCTTTTTGGATATCTTTTCAATTTTCAGTTTTTGCAAGCCTCTTAAATTACAGACTAGATAAACACTATCTTGTGCTAGAAAAAGTATGTTGAGAAAACACCTTAAAAGTAAAAGAACGAAAGTCATGTATGCAACAGCTCCCACATCAAATACACAGTGCAGAACTTAACCTTATTAGATTTATCCATATTTAACTTCACAGTAGTCTTCAGTTGATGGTTTAACGGTGCTATCATGCTCTTCCAATTCTTGCATGTGTTTTTGTACTGCATATTTTATGGTTAATTATGGGTCTCGTCAATTAATCATATCCAAAAGAATCAAGCATTTCTGAAATCCATAGTTTTGTTGCTTTTGTAGTTCGCCTTTTCTTTTTTTTGCTTATTCGACATGTCATGGGTCCGACTTTACATGTTTGATTATACTCAAAACTAACTTTATTATCTTGCCAGGTGAAAGATTTACTGATGTAGTTGGCAGCCCTTATTATGTTGCTCCTGAGGTTCTGCGAAAGCGTTATGGTCCTGAAGCAGATGTTTGGAGTGCTGGAGTGATTCTTTACATTCTGTTAAGTGGAGTTCCTCCCTTTTGGGCTGGTAAGAATTTTAGACTTGCAAATCCTTGAAATTCAACTTTTGCATCTTGGTAGTAATATGATTATGGAACAATTTTCCTAATCTCTCTTGATCTTCCCAACCCCTTTTCATACTGCTCTAGAAACCGAGCAAGGGATATTTGAACAGGTCCTGCATGGTGATCTTGACTTTGATTCCGACCCTTGGCCTGCTATCTCTGACAGTGCAAAGGATTTAGTTAGGAGAATGCTTGTTCGAGACCCTAGAATGCGGTTGACTGCACATCAAGTTTTATGTGAGTCTTATTTTCCTTTGGTTGTTTTTTCCTGTTTTCAAAATTGAATTTGTTTTTATTGACCTGAACATTACTTGATCGGTCTAGAATGGTGGTTAGCAGAATCCGTTTCCATTAACATATACCACGACATCTTGAAATGCACCGTCAATTTGGTTCCTGTTCAGGCTTTGCAACATCATAAGTTTGGTATTTTCTGTGACAAGATTGAGCGCCAAAAAAAGCAGAATTGTGCCAGTTGTCTCCTACATCTGTCAAATGCAAGAATACAGGGAATACGAGTTTATAAAATACATCTACCCTAAGATTACGAGGCTATATCTAACCAAAACAAGTTCATGCCAGTTCTATTAAATCTGGAGATACTAGATAC